AGACCAACTCAATGAAATAAAATGAGAAGACAAGATTAGAGAAAAAAGGGTAAAAAGGAATGAGCAAAGTCTCCAAGAAATATGGGACTATGTGAAAAGATCTAATCTACGTTTGATAGGCGTACCTGAATGTGACGAAGAGAATGAATCCAAGCTGAAAAATATTCTTCAGGATATTATTCAGGAAAACTTTCCCAACCTAGCAAGACAGGACAATATTCAACTCCAGGTAATACGGAGAACAGCACAAAGATATTCCTCAAGAAGAGCAACCCCAAGACACATAATCGTCAGATTCGCCAGGGTTGAAATGAAGGAGAAAATGCTAAGGGCAGCTAGAGAGAAGGGTCAGGTTACCCACAGAGGGAAGCCTATCAGACCCACCTCAGATCTCTCAGCAGAAACCCTACAAGTCAGAAGAGAGTAGGGGTCAATATTCAACATCCTTAAAAGAACTTTCAACCCAGGATTTCATATCCAGCCAAACTAAGCTTCATAAATGAAGGAAAAATAAAATATTTTGTGAACAAGCAAGTACTCAGAGATTTCATCGCCACCAGGCCTACTTTACAAGAGCTTCTGAAAGAAGCACTACACATAGAAAGGAACAACCAGTATCAGTCATCCCAAAAGGTAAAGAGCATCAACATAATGAAGAATCTACATCAACTAATGGGCAAAACAGCCAGCTAACATTAAATGGCAGTATTAAACTCACATATATTAATATTAATCCTAAACTTAAATCGACCAAATGCCCCAGTCAAAAGACACAGACAGGCAAATTGGATAAAAAGCCAAACCCCATCAGTATGTTGCATCCAGACCCATCTCACATGCAAGGATACACAAAGACTCAAAACAAAGGGATGGAGGAAAATTTACCAACCAAATGGAGAACAAAAAAAAATAATAATAATAAAAAGCAGCAGCTGCAATTCTCGCCTCTGATAAAACAGACTTTAAAGCAACAAAGATCAAAAAGAGACAAAGAAGGACATTACATAATGGTAAAAGTATCAATGCAACAAGAGCTAACGATCCTAAATATATAAGCACCCAATATAGGGGCACCCAGATACATAAGGCAAGTTCTTAATGACTTATAGAGACCTAGACTCCCACACAATAATAGTGGGATACTTTAACATCACATTGCCAATATTAGACAGATCAATGAGACCGAAAGTTAACATGGATATCCAGGACTTGAACTCAGATGTGGAACAAGTAAACTTAATAAACATTTACAGAACTCTCCACCCCAAATCCACATAACATACATTCTTCTCAGTGCCACATCACACCCACTCTAAAAGTGACTACATAATTGGAAGTAAATCACTCCTCAGCATTTCACTGGTTTAAATGAAATATTGGTTGGTGGCTTGTTTGTTATTTTCCTCCCTTATTCCTTCCTGTCTCCATTGTTAAACACAATTATTGACATAAAAGAGGTTTTTAATACCCATTTTTAGCCTGCATTCTAGCCTGGGCAATAAAGCAAGACTCCCGTTCTCTCTCCCTCTTTCTCTTCCTCTTTCTTTCTTTCTTTCTTTTTTTCTTTCTTTTTCTTTCTTTCTTGCAAAAAAAAAAAAAAAAAGACTGATGCTTACTTATACAGATGAACTAGCACAAGAACCCTCGATTGAAGGACTTGGCAATAGTATGGTGGGCATAGCCCTTTTAGGCACAGTGTTTTTAGGCAGCACAAGCACATGCTTGCAACTAAGCCCATGGAATGATTAACGATGACACCAGTATGTGGTTACATGTCACTGTGGCAGTAACTCATGTGCTCACAAAACATATATATTGATCAAAAAGTTTACTAACATTTTTTTTTGAGATGGAGTCTTGCTCTGTTGTCCAGGCTGGAGTGCAGTGGCACACGATCTCTGCTCACTGCAGCCTCCACCTCCAGGGTTCAAGCGATTCTCATGCCTCAGCCTCCTGAGTAGCTGGGATTACAGGTGTGCACCACCACGCCCGGCTAATATTTTTAGTAGAGACAAGGTTTTACCATGTTGGCCAGGCTGGTCTCGAACTCCTGACCTCATGATCCGCCCATCTCAGCCTCCCAAAGGGCTGGGATTACAGGCGTGAGCCACCGCGCCCAGCCAAAAAAAGTTTATTAACTTCTTAGAAAAGAAAAAGGGATCTTTGATCTTTGAAGGTTAAGCAGTTGAAGTATGAATAGGATAGCTAGTTGCCTGGGAAGAATATGAGCAGGACACAACTGAGACCTTATTGAGTGTTACTCTGTATTACCAAACCTTTCCACTGTTCAGCCTGGCTGATGGATCATGTGTTCAGGAGGATAAGAGGCCTGGAAGGAGATACGAAGTCAATCAGAAAAGCAGCATCATTACAACTTCATGGCTTACAGAGGAACTGACTGGGAGTACATGTGCCTCTTTTCCATAATCCAGTTGCTTCATGTAGAGGAAAGAGAGAGAAAAAGACAATGCTTGCCTCTAGTTTATTTTACTCTACGTTGTCATTTATTCTATTTTTTATTTTTTTTAATCTTTCTTTTATTATTTATTTATTTATTTATTATTTATTTATTTTTTTTTTGAGACGGAGTTTCGCTCTTGTTACCCAGGCTGGAGTGCAATGGCGCGATCTCGGCTCACCGCAACCTCCGCCTCCCGGGTTCAGGCAATTCTCCTGCCTC